TTAATTCACTTTCCTATGAGAAAAACTTGTTCAAATTAATCATACTTCATGCGGTGTATCTCTATCAGTCACTAAAAGATTATTAACTAAGTGTAGATGTGTGCACTGGTCTGTGTGAATTTACAAGTAATCAGTCTATCATCTCATATCATTTTTGAAGTCTTGATATATGGATAACCTACTGGCTGTAACAATATAAAGGATTGTTGAAATTTGGATTCATGCACTGTTGTTCTCATACACTGCATGTACACATGTTTGCATGTTTGTATTTGGAGTGCTATATTCTTGTCCATTAATGAGTATGATCAAAATCCCAGCAGAATGAATGAGTGAGAAAGATGCCAGTAGCTAATAAATTATTATTATTCTGCAGAAGTACTAAGTCTTACCTGGCTTCTAATATGTTTCCTCAGAAAATGTGTATTCCTCTACTTCAGTGATGGTATTAGTTGTGCTGCAATAATAGTAATAATAATACCCCTTCTAACTGATCCCTCCCCTACCAACTAACTACACATTTTCAATATCCAAAAACTTGTTTCCTAATACTGTACACAGAAAATGCTCTCAAATCTATGTATATTGTATATACTATGATGGCGCCTTGTAGAATGCCACTTGACCATGGGCGCCTATGAATGGTTGTTGGATTTTCTGTTTTTCTATTTTTTTTCCATAATAATTTATAACCTTTACTCTTCTGTTTTCCTCTCATCTGTTTTCTTCTCTTCTCATACTCCCTCATCATCACTTTCGTATATTTGGAGCCGTCTGCGTTCATTCAAATTGGATTAGGTTAACTATATAAATTTTTGGTTTAAAGTCTTATTATTCCAGTTCAATTAGCAATATTTTTGTTTGTTTGTTTGTTCTAACATATTTTCCTTCTAATCACAAAAATGTAGCCTTGCAATTTCCCCTCGTTTTATTATTTAGTAATAATAATAGCTTCAGTATTATCTTAGTATATTACGTTTATGATTATTCAATATTATTTCATATATATATATATATATATATATATATATATATATATATATCGGTTTGTTTCTGGTTCTATTTGTATATTAACTACAGTTAACTTATTTGCTAAGGACTTCCTGCGATATACATCCATTTTACAGTTTCTGTGTTTCATTTTGAAGTTTTATCATTTTTTTTTAGCAAATGAAACTATGCAACGAGGACACATAAGAGTAAAACTTGCGCAGTGTGGTAGATTGTAATTCCATTTTAGTCTGTTTATTAGGTATGTCACCCAGTGAAACAGTATCATTTACTGGATAACATTTCGGACACAATTTTTGTCCATATTCATATCAGGTAACTCCACAACCATAAGACAGGGTTGATTAGTATAACAGAGCACAAAAACTTAGCTAAACCAGGATTAGTAGATCTTAATAAGATAAGAAATTTAGAAAAAAAACTCGGTTATAGCTCTGAACATAACTGCACACAATTACATAGTAGGGTGGGATAGAGTGACAGCGTTAAGAACTTAGTTGGGTGGAGGGAGAGATTGATAACTGAATCTTTGTTTATCAAATCAACACCAAATTACATGCAATGGAAATTATTCTGCACCTGTCCCAGATAGTTGGAAAATTCTACTACCCTTGTCATAATAAAAAGGAGAGAAAATTGGGAATATATAAGCTCTGTCTTAAAGTTGTGGAGTTACCTGATATGAATATGGACAATGAATTGTGTCCGAAGCGTTATCCAGTAAATGATAATGTGACATATTTAATAAACAGACTAAAATGGAGTATTTATAATAGCCTATTCCTAAAGACTTAGTCTTGCGGTATTATGTTTATAGTTCGACTATTACTTACCTGACTTATATTATGTTAAGTGATTATTCCACCACCCCCGATACTGTTGAACATATGGTGATAGAAGTTAGTTGGTTTTTCGTGGAAATGCCTATTGATCGTATCAACGCAGGCTAGAAACAGTCTCCACGAAATTAGACCTTAGAATGGTACCAAACAAAATAAAGCTATTAAGCCATCGGATTTTTAGCGTATAGGCTAACATTGGATTAATTGGATAGTTGATGACTATGAGTGAAACACTTTCGAAAGAATATCAACGGTATGAATATAATTCACTTTATCTTTCCAAGATAGTGGACATTTCAATGCTAGTTTATCGACTGTAATCTTATTTTGTCCTCTATCAGTGTACTTTTTAGATTCATTCTATCTACGACTGAACCAATACACTATTACATCACATTCTGTGTTAGTGTTGTAAATTAGACAGATGGTTGAATGTTTTCATTTTGTTCCTAGTGAATCAGTACATCACAGTAAGTACGATAATAAGTTTCATTAACCATTAGATCCAAGTTCACTTATATCAGTAGATCACTTATGTTTAGTTGTTATTCTCTATCAGTACTGTTCCTTTCTTTATGGCACTTTTAAAATGAATTAAGACATCAAGGTAAATTAGATGATAACGTTTTGGCTTTCTTGCTCTGTGTGCTTGAATTCTATAACACCTAATCATACTACACATTTAGAATTTAAATATTTTCTATAAGAATGATATTTCTTGTATTACTTCTCTTATCTTAAAGTGAATGGTTAACCTAACCGAAAAAATTGTTTAATTGGTTAGTTAGTTAGTTAAAAAAAAAAAGAAAATTGAATGTCATGACTCTTTATAATCTGATCAAATTCGTTTTCGTTATCATTCGACACAGAAACAGAGCTAGTTGTCAATTTATTTATTCAATTAATTAATTAGTTAATTTATTTATTTAATTTAATGAAGTAAATATATATAATGCTCCTACCAGTCGTTAGTGTTTTATAGTTGTACATTGTTTCAATTAATTTTTAAGTTCATGAATTTTAAAAAAAATTAATTATGTGAGTCATTTCAGTAAAATATTTTATCGTTTAAAAACTATGAAAACGAATATGAAATAAATGTCATGAGTTTAATAAATTTTAAAAGTGATTAAACGTGTTAGAAAATTGTAAATAATCCAATGTAGTTCTATAGTAAAATTTGTTTGTTTTATAGTTTAATAGAATTTACTCATAGTTTATTGACTGTGATTATCAGTTGGTGTATATTCACTTTCTATCCAGTTTCAGTTGACCTTTTCATATATTTAGTATCCACTCTCATCATCATCTTTATATTTCTTGATAACTTTTCTTATACTTTTCATGAATTCATTCTTTTGATAAATGAGATAGTTGTTTTGAATTTCTGCCATTTTAAACTATTTCGTTCATAGTTTTACCTGAGTTATCAATCAGCTAATTGTGTTTTGCAAATCACTATTGTATAACTCAAAGTAAGTAAATATATTTTTTTTTATGTGTGTTACTCTTTTCACTCTGTTTCAATGTATGCTAACTTTCATTGCATTTCTAGTCTTCTCCTTCTTCATAGTTCTCTCTCTCTCTAAATGGTTAACGATTATGAAGAAATGACTTACTAATATAGACAGAGAATTTAGCGAAGAGCTTTCATTTGTTGTTGATAATTCTAATTTCCTGTTGCTATACTGGGTCGTATTGCTGGACCTATGTTCTCAGATAGGCTCCTATGTGGATGTCTCACGGTGGTTGCTAGTGGTTGGATCCAGGATGCGAGTTTCGTCCTACTTAGGACTCGTCAGTTGGATGTACCTGCATCCCAGTGAGTAATCTTATTCCCACTGAGATTCGAACCCGATACCAATCGCTTCAAATGCTAAAGCGTTATTCACTAGACTGCTGAAGTGTGTTCCACTTACTTCAACTTAGACAACTGAGATATTTCCTTAGCCCTTTTACATAATAGATTTGACTCATGTCTACTGAGTTTCATGATCATTTTCTTTGAATCTTATGACTGAATTTTTGTATGATTATTTGTTTGTATTTTGTCAACATTGTTAACTTCATCCCACAAAGTAAACAGTATAGAAAGTGCAAAATACTATTCAGTACCAATATTCATTACAATGATGGATATTTCAGCTTAGTAGCTTAATAGACAACACCAAACTTCCAATTGTTGGTGTTAGATTTTAATCTGAGTGGTAATATCACGAACCACTGGGATTCAGGTTAACTCGAAACAAAACGGTCTGCTAACAAATTACGAACGTGAAAAGTTTGAGTCTATATAAAGCAGGACCAGATGAATGGTCAGAAAGGAGATCAGAATGCACTCAGTGACCTTGTACACATTCGTACAGTAGACAATGAGCCATAACTATTGTATAAGGGCTATTAATAATACTACATAATCGCCCAAACCTTAGTAGGTGGATCGACGTTCGAACCCGCGACCCACTGATTGAAAGCCATCTCCCTAAACCAATAATCCACAGCTTCACTAAGACGAGTTGTATGTGGTGATCACTATCAATATTCGTGAAATAGGTTTGATCACTAGTCATGATGAAAATAAAGGTTTTTGTATGATGAATACAGACTGTAGGAAAAGACAAAACGCGTTTGCATCAAAGAAAAATTTTTCTTTTCGACGAAGTCACTTACTTAGCTGTACGTTCATGAATATATATTACAGTGGGCAAAAGGTCCCAGAATTATTTCCGGTTATGGGGCAAAACATATTGAATAACCAAATGAAGTTAATCAATACACGTTTAGGTTTAGAGTGGGAAAATAGACAACGGATTATGAAAATACATGTATAGTTACCTAATACAGGATGGCAGTCAAGGCCTTATGATGACCACGGCAAAAATAAAGGTTGGACATACATTTTTCGGACACTTCACGCTGATTTGAACTTCTGAATGCCTAGTGCTTCAGCTATAGTCAAATGCCTTAATCTTGCTCCCTTCAAGTGGTTTGATCGAACCCTGTAAACGAGTTTGAACAATTTCTTAAAAGAAATTAAGTGGCCTGATCCATTATTGTAATTCTTGCAGTAGCTTGTTGTGTTAAACCACTTGCTTTTATGAATAACGACGATAGATGTATTTATTATTTTTCTTTTGTTTAATCAAGGTGTTCACTTATTTACCTTTGGTGGTGATGTATACGCTGAATGCTTATCAGATTGTAGCATTTTTATTCAGTCACGTGAATGTAATGAACGTCATCATTTCCATCCAACAACTGTGATTAAAATACCTCCAGGTGGTTGTCTTCGCATATTCTCTAATCGTCAATTCGCTCATATACTGAGTTATACTATTTCACGAGGCGTTGAAGCCACCTATGATCTTGTACGAATGTGTACAATTCGACTGAGTTTTGTTAAAGGATGGGGTGCAGAATATCATCGACAAGATATCACATCTACACCGTGTTGGATAGAAATTCATTTACGTGGTCCTTTTCTATGGCTTGACCGTGTTCTTCGTCAAATGGGTCCAAGTCGAAGTCCTATCTCTTCAGTTTCATAATTCATACAGCAAATAGTTTTGTCAACAATTCGTGTTTTTTTTTCGCTTCATTTCATTTATGTATCACCCCCCCCCTTCCCCCGACTGTTGTGATCTCACTTTCAATATTTTAAAGACTGCATTAATACTTTACAACATTATGTATTTTACTCAAGCTGTGATTTCATTATTGATCATTACCTTCAGTGTAATCATACTATTTACATTGAGTTTACTTATCTTACCAAAAGTATATTTTACTTCATTTCTGTGTTTTGTTTTTACTTTATATTTTTAAGCAAAGAAGAATCTTTACGCTACTTTCTTGAATGGACAATTGTTTTCTGTCTGCTTATCACTTGTCTTTTTAAGTGTATTCACTAAAAAAAGGCGTTAAATCTACATTATTATCATTGTGATTACAAAGGTAATCTATATGAAATATACTTTTCTCCTTATCTTACCATGGTTATCTTTCTTGCATCTCTTATCTAGGTGATATGGGTTAAGTATTTTGTCCTTTTATCATATGACTACTACTATTTTTATTAACTTTATACTGTCAGCATTTAAGTCTAATTAATATCCAAGCGCCATCTTTTTCTTTTTTGCCGCTGGTTAAAATTGTACTTGTTCAATAGAATTTTCTCTTCATGTTTGTTTCCAAAACTTAACAAATTGTGTACATGTATACTAGTGTCAGCAATATGTTTTGAAAGTATGCTAATTTCTTTTTTTTAAATGAAGTGATTGGTCGAATCTATTTACGAAGACATTTTCATTTGCTAACAAACCTATACTCTCTACTTATTGTAAAATGGTAGACTTCAGTTGTATGTTTTTCGTTTTGAAAAGGGAACTTTACTGAACAAGAAATCTTCCGTTAAGATTCTTTCATTTTCGGCCATAATTTGATTCTGTGCTCTTCAAAGCTGTATCAGAAAGTAGCTAGGTGGGACAAAATTGCACATTTTGAACTATGACATTTTAGGTGACATTAGTTTGAGGTATTCATCATGAACTGACATCAGTTGGAGAGCCATTGAAAACCTGAGAGTATTAGATAGCTGTCTCGTCCTAGCGTGGGACTCAGCAGTATGCACCCACAACTTGGGTAGGGATTGAACTCAGCAACTTCAGGTTTCACGGCGAACTCGTTAACCATTCAGCCACTGGGTTATTCTCAGTTTCCAACCCCTATCAATTCGTGATATAGTATGATCATTGCCCAAGGTCTTCAGTTGGCATTCGCTTTACTTCCTACTGGTTGACTCCACAGGTCACATCTTCATATTAATATAAATGTAGAATTCATAACTGGGGTCCGTGTAACAGCAAAAACAAGTAGTTGGAGACTTAAGGTAACATCTCAGAATCGACCTCAGTGTCAGATGTATTCACACATTTTCATCCTAGTTGTTACACTGAATTCAATATTCCCTTACTCCTCTTTGTTATCTTGTTGGGACTTTCAACTGCCGTCTCCTCTGTTTGTTTATGTTTAGTCTTAGCACTTTATTGCTTCATATACCTATTTAAGGTGTGGCAAGTTCGAGCGCTGCTCCATAATGCCAGGTCCTATCATGTCTGTCTCTGTATGCCAATGTGAAGTGTGAGAAGTAAGATTAAAATGTAGTTATGCTCAGTTCTATGCTGTTTATCTTTCTGGATTTCTTATTTCTACCACAAGAATCTTCAATAGGAATTTAATGAAGCCATGCCATTTTCACAACTGAGAATCAGTTATTTATTCAAATTAAACGTTTGTGGGGGAATATATTAATTTCAAGAGTTTTTATCAAGTATTGACATCAGCTGTAGAGCTTTTGAAAACTAGAGAATACTTGATAGGTGTTTCGTCCTAGTTCGAAACTCCTCAGAAGTGCATACTTCAGTTTCAATTTAAGATCGAACTCAGGATTGTTAAGTACTGTTCAAGTGAACAGTTTCATGATCAAACCTTAGGTCAGGATCAAGTGTTTCATGTTTCCACCTGTCATTTTTGGCGTAACATCACCATAATTGAAATGTCGTCGGTAAATATTTGTTCTCACAGCTGAATTGCTCCACTCCATAGGTTGCCACTTTTAAGAAGAACTTAAAGTCTATTTCAAAGCAAGTGTCCAGTAACAAATTACTCCTAGTTAGTAAGTTTCATCTTACTAACAAGAAACAACATTAAACCAATTAAGAAACTAAATTTAAACTATTTATAAATTAATTGAAACCTAGAATAATCTGATGGTCATTTGAATTTAAGCCTTCCGTTTTAATATTAAACTTTTTCCTTTGCCCAGTACGCTGGAATGACTAGTTGTTTCAAATTTTTTTTGCGCCAATACAACTACTTACTATATTTTGGACAGTGCTGTGACCGAGTGGTGGGGTTGCGCGCTTGGGTATAATGAATACTGAGACTTAATAGACACCTCAACCGAATACCTTTACGACTGACCTCCCTCAGTATCTTCTGCTTCTCTGAGCCGCGTAAAATCAGAAGACAAAGACGGCCTGTGACTGCAAGAACAGTGACAACTTTTATTAGGCAAATACATGACATATGTGTATTTACAAAGCTCTCAGAAAGTGAAGTTATAAATGAACCAATCCGATTTCTTGTATGAGGTCGAACTTCTCCAATCAGGTTCTCATGTCAGCGCATGCATAAATCACGACCTGAACATGATCTGACCACGACTTGAAAACAAATCCCCTATTGGCTGCGTTTTGTCGCTACGACTCAGGTAGCGTCTGGTTCTAATGGACTGTGGAACACAGGGTATGCGTTTCATGGATTCTTACTTTTAACATCACAAAGACCGACTTACAGCCTCCGAAATTTCATGGATTTTGACTTGATATTGAATCAAAATGTGTAGTAAAGTGGTTGATACACTGTAAAATCTCAGTAAAATACACATACTTCTGAATTATGTTCAGGCAGATAGATTCAATTAATAATCTAAGTATTTACAAAAAAGCAATCCAGTTTAAATATTTTAGATTAATGGGCTAATGATGTTCTACTGAAACACCTATTGTACTATGCGTAAGTCTAAATTAGAAACAGTACTAATGAAAAAAATAAATGTAATTTTTGGTAGGCTGTGTTGTGATCACGGCTGTGTGCATACATGCATCTGCTACAAAGTTGTTATACACTTGCATGAAATGAATGAAAATAACGTTCCATTCTAAGATCTAAGTTTAACTGTTGACTATTATACGTAAATTTATACCTACATTACTAGACAGACAGAAAGAAAGATATAAACAACGTAGGATCCGAAATGATTGCGTATCGGCGCAAATTGAAATACTATATAGCAGAGACAGATTATAGGGGAAAGTAAACAAGAGGAAATATCAATAGTCTTAAAAAGCCGTATAGCTTAGTTGTAAAAATAACGAGGATCATGCTGCAGCTTTCTTGCTTCTTCTATTACGTGAAAGTATAACGAAAGTACTGAATGTTTCTTTGAGTGTATGTTGGAACCGTTTCTTTAATAACCCGATTTATTTCTCCATTTATCTTATTTCTTCATTTATTTTGTACGGCACATCTCTTGGTGTCCATGTTTTACTAGGTTTATGTTCTAAATGAGATGAGAAAAAGAGGTAGGTACATGATTAAATAACTTAGATAGAGATAGGTTGTTGGTGTATCTACATCGGCGATTGATCATGAGCCGCATCATAAATATAAACTGATCTACAGTTGTAGATTAAAATGCGACTATCATTCAATATTCACTAGTTCTCTAAACGACAGCTGCTTACGAATAGACCGATTTCTAAAGAAATATACTACTTAAAAATATGATTATCAAGTCATTGGAATGTCATTAAAAATCTTTATTGTAAAGATAGTGCTTAATGAATATGCCATATTGATTCATTATATAAAAACGTGTTGAAAAACTTAGATCGCTGAGGCCTAAAATATCTATATCTAAGCGATATTACTATTGTTTCACGTTACCCTGACTGTTTATACATCTGCTGTAATATGTATTCAAGGAACACTATTCTAGTATCACTTCCATAACATCAGTACACCTTAGTTGACATTTCAATGAGTCTTTACAAAAATGATATGTTCCAATAATTCCAGTGATATTCGTAGACGTTATCGATTGTAGGAAAAGAAGTAGTTTAAAAAGCTTGTATAAATGCATTCATTTTTGATTTTCGAAAGTCAGTAATTCTAGTTTAGGACTCAAGTTGATATTTTTTGATTTCAGAAAAACGGTTAATTCTGTTAAGAATTTAGATGAGCGTAGAAGTGTTTAGGAGTTTTCTATCATGTTTGGTAAACTGTTATAATTATTATTGTTTCTTAGTAGACCAGTGAGGTTATTTTGAAACTTCAAAACCAATTACAGATACAGCTGTTTTTTATAATAAATAAAGTTACCTCTGTTATGCTGAAAAAGGGTTTATAGTGGTGAGTACACTGTGAAAGACAAACTCACCGTTGTATCAGACACAGAAATGGGTCAGTTTATGTTACGGTAACATAGAAGCATGGGGAACAAATAGGAATTACATTTAATTAGATAATAATGCATACATAATAAGAAGGGAATAAGTTAGCGATAGTCAATATGTTCAAATTTCTGAGGCATTTTGACTGATTTTGAATTGTATCACCTGGAGTCTTATACTATTGGTTCCTGTTATCTTGAGTACCCCAACCAGATAGCCTTATTTATTATTTGTCCCTTGGGTTCCTAGTAGAACATAGAGCTTCAGTAACACGTCTCCATTTCACTCTTCAGTCTTTTCAACCTTGCTCCACGACTGCCCACAAGCTCTTACTTCTTCCTCACACGATCTCTTCCACGTCATCCTCGAACCCCAGGCTCGTTGTTTCTTATACAGGTTCCACTCGACGGCCTGGCACATGATGTCCCCGAATGGTTTTATCAGTGTATTCCCAATCCAATCCATTTTCACTTTCTTCTGCATATTTGTTGGGCGATAGGTTCTTGGTTGGTTTGTTGGTAGGACAAAGTTCCTTGTTGTTTATTCTTTCTCGCCATCTGATCTAATATTCAGTATTGAGTGAGCGTAGACGGTAGCTATTGATGAATATCTGTAGTTTGTTGGAAATGCTTTTCGTGACGCGCCAAGTTTCTGAACCACACAGAAGCACTGACTTGACATTGGTGTTGAAAATCTGGATCTTGTTCACGCTTTATACTGAGTGCGGTAGATCTCCATACTGGATTCAGGTTGATGAAGACCTGTCTTGCTGTGTTTCCGATCCGGGCTTTGACGTCCTCGTCTGTGCCACCAGTGGTTGAAACGATGCTGCCTATGTAGGTGAAAGAGACAACTCCCTTTAGGTTTCTCCCGCTGATAGTGATTAGTGCTTGTTGTTGTTGGTTAGGTATCGTCATCACCTCTGTCTTCTCTACGTTCACTTTAAGTCCCGTCTTCCCTGCCCTGCCTCTTCTGCCAACTTGTTGAATTTTGCCTGTAGATCTTCAAGCTGGTGGGACATAAGATATAAATCCTCATCGACGAAATCCGAATCTTCTGAAGTCTTTTTATCGGTCAAGCTGGCGTATGCCCATCTTGTCGCTCCTCACGATCTGTTGCATGATTCAGTCAACCACAATCAGGAAGATCATTGGTGATAGTGGGCGGCAACCTTTTCTTACTCCTGTCTTCACTTCAAAGGCGCCACAATCGGACACCCTACAAACCCCTAAATATCAATGACCAGCAGTTTCAGGTCTTATAGTTTGATGTCACTTCTATTCTGATGACTTGTAGCTTTCATCCATCTAAATCTGCTTTGGACAACACCATGCTTTGAGGTTGAAGGTGGCTCAATAGGTACACTCCGTGTCCAGGCCATCTCAGTTGGTGAACGTTCACAACCTTTTAACTGAAT